ATTCTCATCACATATAAATTTGACTGAAATTTTAGTCAATTCGGTTCTGTAGAAGATTGTACTATTTTAATCAAATATATCCGCTATATATTTTGAAATTATTTCACTAATACGAATACATTATGCTGGTAAAAGAGGAGGCAACAAAAAATAAAGGAAGTTGCTCAACAAGATGTATCGACACAGTGGCTGCAACAATGGACCAAACATCACAAGAATGGTGAGGAGGGCTCAGGAGCAGGCAGTGTTTCATTCTGTTCTGCAGAGAGTAGCCTAAGGACACCTACTAACAACAAGAGTACCAATAGAGCATATCCTCAAACAAACACATGTGCACATGAACAAACACACCTCCATAACTTGTATTTGATGGTAATGCTTGTGTGCTTTTGTTTCCTCCTTTTATCTGCATAGTCTAAATGCCCCGTTCTTGTGTGGGAAGAATCAGCCTGGCACGTGGTTTCAGAAAGAGGAATCCATAGGGATCTTCACTGATTAGAGTTACTGCATGGAGGTCAAACAAGGTAACAGACATGATGTGTTTGTCATGATCACAGTTCCATCCATGATGGTTACTCTAGTTGAAGGGAAATATTGATAAGTGATAGATACTCAAGGCACTTATTTTGATGACAAGAATAGACTCTAACAGCTATCAAGTGTTGACTGTATACCACAGGCAACACACTAGAAAAAGTACATGCAAGCATCCATTTAACTCACTGTGCATTCTCCTTATGGAGGGAAAAATTACCTCTCCCAGTGAACAGGTGATATCTGCAGCAAAGAGAAATTAAGTAATTGCCTAGGGACTCATTTGTAGTTAATTGGTATTGTCAAAATCATTTTCTAGCCATTACCAACCACACACACTTTTGCAGTTAATGAAAATTAAACAGTTAAGCATGAAATTAAATTAAATATAAAATTAAACATAAAAACATAAATCAAACACAAAAATACCCTAATGATATAAATAAATAAATACAATCAAACTCACAGCCATTGACTGGATTCGGACACGTAGTGACCCTATAAAATAGTAAAATGACCCTCTGCGTGTTTCAAAGTCTGTGACTCTGTATGGGAGTAGAGCTCTCATCTTTTTCTCATTCAGTAACTGGTGGTTTTGAATTTCTGACCTTGTTGTTGGCAGCACAATAGATATTAATGGAGAACCTCCTATACAGCATCTATTAATAAATTACACAAAGACGATAAAAGTAATGAACAGATATTTTTAAAGAACTGAAGAGTTAACTGTTAAATCAAAAGGAAGTGCCAGTTCACATTTAAAATGTGGGCTTTCAAATTGATGATTTTAGTTGATAACAAACAGCTATCAATCTGAATGAAGGAGAATTTGGCAAAATCGTTGTTAGTAAAGAGAATATTTGTAGGTTCACATGACATATTTCCAAATAACTTAGAAAGTTCATATCAAAGAAGAAGTCAATTCATGTGCATAAGTGAATTAGGATTAGAACCAGTGAATAGAAACTAGAAAAATTGATTTCTGCTAAATTAGTGGGTCAGATACATACACATATTTCATATGGAAATGAGATCCTTAGACTGAGAGACTCACTGTCAGTATAAGGATAAGATGCACGTGGTATTGTCAGAGTGATGACCAATTGTGATGCCAGTTGACTGTTCATTGAACATTGCTTTCTACTTTCTATTGCAGGAAATACTCCAGCCACATGGAAGCAGGAAACCAAACAAAAATTTCAGAATTCCTCCTGCTGGGCCTCTCTGAGGATCCTGAACTTCAGCCTCTCTTCTTTGGTGTCTTCTTGTCCATGTACCTGGTCACTGCGCTTGGGAACCTTCTCATCATCCTGGCTGTTAGCGCTGATCCGTACCTCCACAGCCCCATGTACTTCTTTCTCTCAAATTTGTCTTTTGTTGACATCTGTTTCATCACCACTACGATCCCAAAGATGTTGGTGAACATCCAGACACAGAGCAAAGACATTTCCTATATAGGGTGTCTCGCTCAGGTGTATTTTTTCATGATCTTTGGTGGACTGGACAATTTTCTCCTGACTGTCATGGCATATGACAGGTTTGTGGCCATCTGTCACCCCCTGCACTACACAGTCATCATGAATCCCAAGTTCTGTGGCTTGCTGGTTCTGATGTCTTGGGTCATTATTTTCTGGGTCTCCTTGATCCACATTTTACTGATGATGCGACTGAATTTCTGTACAGCGACTGAAATCCCACATTTCTTCTGTGAACTGGCTCAGATGATCAAAGTGGCCTGCTCTGATACCCTCATCAATAACATCTTCTTGTACTTGGCAACTGCCCTGCTGGGTGTGTTTCCCCTCATTGGGATCCTCTTCTCTTACTCTCAGATCATCTCCTCCTTAATGAGAATGTCCTCTGCTGGGGACAAGTATAAGGCCTTTTCCACCTGTGGTTCTCATCTTTCCGTGGTCTCCTTGTTCTATGGGACAGGCCTTGGGGTCTACCTCACTTCTGCTGTGACTCATTCTTCCCAGAGAAGCTCCATTGCCTCAGTCATGTACACTGTGGTCACACCCATGCTGAACCCCTTCATTTACAGCCTAAGGAACAAGGATGTGAAGGGAGCCCTGAAAAGTCTTCTAAGTAGAGCAGTTTTTGGCCCACGATGACCACTTGTCTCCGGGTTTAATGATGTCTTCAAAGTCAAATGACAAGAATTTAAATATCTGAGTCAATTTCTTTTCCATGATACATATGCATCTTTTCTTCTATGCCCAAAGTAACCAACATTTTTTTTCCTACTGGCCATTGTAACATTTCCTCGGTAAAATTTTTTTGACTCTTCTTTCTTATATGCTGTCAATAAAGTTCTTTCTTTGATTAACTTTTTAAATAACATCCCTAAGTCCCAACCTTAAGGTTGAAACATTAAGCATGTCAAAAGCTGATGAGATTATTTCATAGGATTGTTGCTCAAACACTAATGTTTTTCTGCAAAATTGAAGGGAACACAGAGAGGTCTGATAAAATAAGTAAAATATTTCAACTCAGAATGGTAAACATAATCATATTAACATGTAGCAGTCCATATGGAAGAAGCATGCCACCATGTATGATTTATGGACTGTAAACAATATAATCCAAATCTAGAGGAGGGAATGATGTCAGTTTAAATTCTGGATATCTGGTGTGCAGAGTGCTATGGGTGATAGTGGAAACCCAAAATGCATTTTCAGAGTCACAATTGGATTTAGCCTCAGGTGTATTCCCCAGAATCATAGTTGAGGAATGTGAATAAACCTGCTGGCAGATAGAGAACATCACAAAGTCAATATCATTTTGTTGTAATGTCATTTGATCTCTCTTTTGACCCATTTTAAAGCTCTTTCTGTTTGATAAAAAATAATGAAGGGAAAGCACGGGTGGATTAAGCCCCTGGCGAATTCCCTCTGACCATCTACCAGGCACGTGAATAGCCTGGCTAACATGCAGAATGCGTTGCAAAGGGTATTCTTGCAGATGAAGTTAGAAAATGTATCACCTTATCATTTGATCTTCCTTATGATCCATTCCATTTTTTTCTGGTTTCTAATATTTTCTGCTTTCATTTTGATTGAGGGTTTTTTATGTGTTGCTTTGTTATTCTTGTTAGTTATTTGTTGTTGTTGTTTTTATTTATTTTCTTTTATTTTGAATGACTTTTTTCTATACATTCAATCCAGGATAGGTAAATAAAGGCAGTAACTGAATTAATGGTTCCTTGGGGTTAGGATGGAGGAGGTTGGAGAGAAATGGGGGGTTAATAACTGGTATAAGAATGGAGAAAAATGTTCTAAAACTGATTGTAGTGATCATTGTACAACTCTTATTGGGTGATTATGCTATGAAATGTATGATATGTGAATTAAATGGTATTAAAATTGTTGGGAGAAAAAAAGGTAAATATTTTC